AATAATTATTATTTCTTATTGAAACACCTCTCCGCCTTCGTAGAAAGTCGGCATTTCGGGAGAATGATATGAGATAGGCTTATTCTCGTACTAGTCGTTTATTTGTGACTATTGTCGCCTAGTGGTTAATATTCCAGGACTAGAATCCGGGACCCATGTAGGAAACCGAACGAAGTGCAAACTGGTTATTTTTGTTCATTAACATTGTTCAGAGATGAACTCCCGGAGTTAATATCGTTACTCTGGTGTTCATAGTGCAGGAAGTTCTCTACTATAATATTAGGTAATTAGTGTGATTATCTACCATATTATTATTATCTGGATAATACGCACCAAACTTTGAGAGCCACTGCTCCGGTCTACCTCCGAGTACAGTCAGCCCAAATATTTGCACAAGCCATAATTGGATCCGCGGGAAGGGAAAGATGCTCTGTGCGCAGTTTTTAATTTCTCAATTATTTTTTTGCGCTTCAGTGTACTTAGAGATCACAAGAAAATGTATTGTTAAAAAAACGTTATAAATATAAGAAATGGTTACCTATCAGTGATAAAGGGTCCACATAGTCGGCTTGCTCAAGAGTAGTACATTATGTATTAAGGGCGGTAGATAAGAAATTACTAACAAGAGCTTGTTAGAAGCCCGAAGACGAAGGTTGAGGGTTTTAATAATTCGAGTGTAATTGTTACTGCCCGTGCTACGTGTCTTACAATGTTTTTACACATTTGCGAGGTAATAAATACAACGATAATTTATTTCTTGTGTGAATGAAATATCGCTTAACAACACAACATTTACGGACTTTGCAAATGGCGTGTTTTTTTTTAAATATTGCAAGTTATTCTTCCATAGATTTATTACAACTCGAACTAAAATGTTATAAATGGCACAGACGCATGCAGCCACAACGTATTAGATATAAAAGAAATAGTTTTAAAATATAGTTAAATTGCAAATGTTTAGTTTTTTTTTTATAAGTGCTGCAAGTTTATGCGAAATACACGTTCAGATTTTTCGAGCATAAAAACTTTTTGCTAATCTTGACGTAAAAAATCCATAGGGCGATAATGTAATGAAAAAGCCCGTGGGCATAATAAGGGACTTCAGTCGACTTTGCCTGCATGTCATGACGCTGTTTACGAGCAAGTGTGATGCAAATGTATTTTTTTATGATACTAAGTGACGGGACGAACGAGTCGTGCGCCTGTCCATGACAGCTGCAGTACCACCCAGAGCTTTAAATCGCAAAAATCTGATAGGTACTGCCACTGACAAGTCCCACGTACCTGTGCCAAAAACGAAAAGCAATAATGCTCACATTACGACGATACCATGTTATGGGATTACTTTGGCTTAAAAATATATGTAGCAACATTTATACAATTTCATCAAACAGAAATGTTTATGATGTTAACATACACAACAGCACCCAACGGTGGGCGACACCCAATTTACATGCCAATTAGATCAAAAGATTATCGCGTCCAATCCTTTTTCTGGATACCTTTATGTTAAGGCGCAACCATTGTTCGACAAGGTTTAGTTCTAATATGCGTGTTACATTGATAGTATACTCAAAATCTCAGCTGCCGAGCGTATTCTTGATTATACCATTAAACTTACGCCCTATATGACCAGATTTGCGTTTTCAAGGCAAATTTCGTAACTTTTGAGAACCGATTTTTTAAATTCAACTGTCAAACTTAAATAGTTTACAAATGCACCCAAATAAGACAATAAGGTAATATAATAATGGCGCAAACAAAATCAATCAAACATACTCGTTATAATTGAAGTAGCAGTAGAGCTCCTTGTGGAAGAGTTCGTCCAGAGGAGTACTGCTACCTTAACTATTTCTGCCGCCAAACAGTAATGTGTTCACATTTCTGCGTACCGGTTTTGAAGGGGTCAGGGTACTGGTGAAATTACAGGCAGTGCCCCCTCATATCTTTGCGATTTAAAGCTCAGTGGCACTGCACCTGCTATGACAGGCGAGTAGGTAACCACCAAGCACAGAACTTGTTCGTCTCATCACTTGACTTTTCTAACTTTACGCTTAGTATCATCTTTTTTAAGATTTAAACTGTTATTTGTTAACCAGCGTCCGGTGCATTCGTTTCCTCGTCAAGAATAATATATCTTAAAGTATCTTGCTAGGTGAGCAATCACTTCCTTAACCGCTCGCTACGGAATCCCAATGAAAAGCAAACAATGGACGCCGATGAACAAGATAATCCTTCAACGAGTTGCAAAATCCGGAACCAACAACATTGAAGCGAATATAAAGAGAACAGATTATAAAAGCTAGTAAGGTAGTAGGTATGGTCCGACATCCATAAACAGAGACCAGAGAGTCGACTCCCGTTCTCCGTCCGTAACAGTTGCTGCCAAATATGTAATACTGGGCTAAATTACAAAATTTAGATGACCCATGTTGATAATAATGTTTCAATTTTAGAAAATTATAAACCGTACTCGAATTTGTTCAGGAGCTCTTTCTAACACGCGCTTTCTTGACTCTTTAAACAGCTTTACAATCATTTTTCTTCTTCTCGTATCGATGGCATACACTATATTATTACAGCTCAGAAGTTAATGCCGCTACCACTAGTACCGGGACTAGTAGTAGCCGCCACGTAGGAGTGTGGGACAACATGTTTGCCATCGTGTGGAAGGATTTGCCAATCGGCGTAAACTCGCCGTTTGTTGCCCAGGTTGCATTAACGTGCAGAGTACATGAATAGTACGCCATTGCGAGGAGGCTTCTTTCGTCCTTTCCAACCATTAGTGTCACTCCTGATCCCAGTGGATAATTCATAATAATTCCTAATTCCACTTTCTGTGGCGTGACGGCACGCATTCGTTTATAGAGTCTACTGATAGGTTGAGACCGGAAAAAGGTTAAAGGACCGTGGCCGGACCGTGGTCTATAAGGGGCTCAAAAAAAATCGTTGCGGATATTTTGTATGGATTCATTCACACATGCACGATGCAAGTTCATATGAACGAGCACGGCCCGTCCACGCCCGCGTTGATGTGGTTAGTCCTTAAGATAAACGCAGAAGTGGCTGGTTAGGAAAGACCCTTTTAAGCAGTATATCTGAAGTCTCGTGGCTTTATTTTAAGGAAGACCACAGCAGCATCATCAACAATGTCGTACCTGTATTTAAGTTTTGAGTTTCACTTCGAGCTCCAAGCCGTTAGGCATGCATGATAATTTTGCATATCATAACATTTTGAAGAAAAGCAAAAGATGATGTATAATGTTTCTTTTGTTCCAGTTATTTATGCCTGAGCGGATGTGCGAATCGGGCAGAACACTCAAGAGTTGTAAGGGATGCAATTCTCGCGTTGCTTGCGATCTGCTTCAGTCTGACTCAACCTATTGCCCTGGATGTCGTGAGTAGCGGAATCTTTAATTTTGTACGTGTGATGCAGCTGTGCAGTAATAATTTAACACGAGCTGGTGTAATTTCACTAACGCCTCACAAGTCTTCACGAATCAAGTCTTAATTATATTCCTTTAACATCATTGAATTTATGAGCGTTGACAGTAATATCGGAATAAAATATATCATCATGCAAGTAACAATCAAGCACAGAATCAATTTCGTATACAATTAACTTCCCACTTCTTAAAGATTTTATTCTCAAATATTGCCAAAAATTTTTTTTACATAAAAACTCTAGACATCACAATATACTAATATCTGCTATTGATAATAGTAGAATCGGTACGTTGACTTTTGGAAGTACTTATAACAGGTACAAGTTTTTAGGCAAGTGATGTTCATCAACATGCTCGACATTTTTATACGGATACCGTTATCATATTATTTATTTGTATTTTGTTATTTTCTCTCTTTTATTACATTAATTTAAGTGTATGTTTTTTCCCAATTCATGTTTTTATTTATGTGGTTTGCGAAACTACGTTTTGTATTGGTTTTAATATTTTGTTTCGTAGTGATGATCTGAATAGCTACTATGTGTTCAGGAAGGTGTGTAGCCTGAGTAACATCTTTTATAATATCAAGTGACTGGACGAACAAGTCGTGCGTCTGATGGTAAACTAGACGCCTATCCATAACAGCTGCAGTGGCTCTCGTAGCTTTAAATCGCAAAGATCTGAGGGGCACTGCCACTGCGTGTAATTTCACCAACACCCTTACCCTTCAAAACCGGAACACAATAATGCTGACATTACTGTTAATAATAGTAAAGTTACATTACGTATTATGTTAGTTTACAATTAGAATACGATCTTTTTGTATTACTTTACGTAAGTTTATTTTCAAATAAAGGTGTTTTAAACCAATAAATCAATTTCATATACAATGCGATAGGCAAGCTCAAAAGTTTGATGGCACAATGATGACATCAACACATTTTAAGCTGGCACTTAAAATAGTCCTGTGACGGTGTGACCTCCTTACAACTTCATATCACCTTTTTGTATCACCTCTCTCCGCTTGTATCCTATCATTTTTTATTTTACTTGTACTTAAATTTTAAATTTGAATTGTTCCATCTTCCTTCGCTTTCTCATTTTGTTTTCGTACCACGGTCACTCTCTGCTCGATCGGCACAACAGTCGGAGCTGTTTCAAATTCTGTCGCGTATAATCGCTAATTTTGGTTCTTTACTACGTTTATAATCGTCATTAAATAAGCTATATCATGTGTAATAATTTATAACAATCTACAGCCTTCATGTACCTATATCTGTAATTCAGTTACGCGGCCCATTTAGGGGTAAGTACCTTAATCATAAAGAGTAGGGAGTATTTTATACTATTGTAGCTGTTTTTTTACATTTACCTTTTTATTGTTACAGCCCTTTCGTTTAACTTTACTTCTTTTAATAAATTTTGTGGACGGAAGTTTCCCGTTTCATTGCCGTGAACCTGTCACGGCTAGTTAGGGTTACAACCCTTTCAGTCCAATGACCAAAACCGAACTATCTTACGAATTTTGCGTTTCAAACATTCAATTATCTCCAGGGTACAGAACGCGCATCAGCTCTACAATCCCTCCGCGTTGCCCTTGGCACCAGCCTGTGTGGCGCTCGAGCAGAGTTCTGCATGCTCTTCGCGCAAGATTCGGACTATCAGACAGCTTGCGACGGCTTCGTCAGAGCTGCTCGAACTGCTGACTTCTTGAGGACTGTTGCTGAGATGGACCATCATATTATTCAGGTAAGTACCTCATATTTATCGTCAAATTAAACTGAAGTAATTATTAATGTAAACGTAAGCTACAAACATAGGTAATTAATCTTAGCGCCATCTATGAGAAATCTATGAAAGATTTGTCACCCAGTTAGTACCTTTTACCTTTACAGCTACCAGTCCTGGAGAGAGATGTCGCTATTCACTGTATTTTAAATTTTTATTGAATTGATATTCAATTATTTTTTGTGAAATTACCACTAGTTTGTTATAATTATTAATACAAAGATCGAACACTCAGGAAAAATTCCTTCGGTCCGGTCGGATTCGAACCGACGTGCATAACGTGCCAGACGCTATACCAACAAAGTTTTTTTTTCTGTGTATGTTATGCGGTTACTCGTCGATTTGTGAATCGATTTTGATGATTTTTTTTGCTGGAATGAAGGTTCGTATTGGTCCCATTTAAATTTGAAGAAAATATTCCATAAATCCGGCATCGCGCGATTTCCGTTAACTGATTTTAATAAAACTTGGCAAAATATATGTAATTCCAATAAAATAACTGATAAGCAAAGTTTTGAGGTCGGGTTTTTTTTCTATAAAAAAGATATAATTTTAATCGATGCAACTTCAGACAGCTTGGTTCCGCATAAAAGTGAAAGTGTTGAATCAATGTAGAATTGATTATATATACACTGATTAGTATACGGTGTGAAAATTTTCGCCATAGAAAAAAAATCACAAACTTATCTCGAAATTTTACAAGACAAACCGTTGTATTCAATAGGTACTTTATATATACCAATGACATTATTTTTATATAAACTGCACTAAATAGTACACGTATTGTATATACGATATATATGTTTCAAATTTAATTTCGTTTGTAAAAAATTAATTCTGAAATAAAGCCAGTGTCCCTGCCGGTCGACACAAACAAAATGAACCGTAATAGTATGGGAAAAATTAGAATTCGAGATTTATTGAATATCATGATGTTTTTACTATCATGTTTTTTTAAATATTCCACTGGACTCGAACCAGCGACTTAACCAAACCGCTCTCCCAACTGAGCTACGATTCAGCAGATCTTTACGAATTAATTCCAAATATTTTTTTATAAAAGCATTTAGTTGTTAAGGATTCCAATCGGCACATGATTTTGAAATAACGTAATTGAGACCCTCAATGTTAACAAGTCGATCGTGCTACCACTGAGCCGTTACAGTGGACATTCGTCCACAATGTCGATATTTATTCAGCGCACATTTCCTTACGTTATTTGCGAACTCCTAATTAGTCTCACCATCGTTTTCTGTTTGCTGAGCACCGAACGCTACGCGGAACTATGAAAGATTAACGAGTATTTGTTAATATACCTAACATTAAACTTTGCTTACTTTGGAATTGAGTAAAATTTAGTGTGTGTAATGTTATCATATAATAGTATTTTCTCAAACATGAGTATGTTATAGCAAAAAGAGTAAAGCGATGTGAAATATGGAATCCCTACCTACAAAATAGCGTGCATTAAAAAAAAAATTTGTCTAACAAGCTCGGAAATGTTTGCATTACTTTCAAAAACCGAACACGGAAAGTTTGTCATTTATGGACCATGCGACTTCTTCCCGGCCTGCAAAGTAAGTATGTAAGTATATCACTCATCCCGCTGTCGGAACACCTCCCTCCTAGGCATAATCTACCTTGGCAAACTTGGAAGCCCCTAAATAGGCTGCGGACCCAAGTCGGCCGAAGCAAGGAGTGCATGCACGGGTGTGGTTACAGCTCGGAGAGCGCATGTCTGTGTGGTGTCTCTCCCCAGACAATGCCACATCTTGTGACGGTGCGACCTCCTTACACCGTCATCTCACCTCTTTGTATCGCCTCTCTCCTCTTGTATCTTATCATTTTTTTTTATTTTACTTGTATTTAAATTTTAAATTTGAATTGTTCCATCTTCCTTCACTTTCTCATTTTGTTTTCGTACCACGGTCATTCCCAGCTCGACCGCCACAACAGTTGGAGGTGTTCCAAATTCCATTTACTAAAATCTTATTTTTGATTCTTTACCAACTTATAATACAAAACGTAATGCAACAGTCGGAGCTAAAGAATTATCAAAAATTTGCTGCAAAAGTTTTTCGACCAAAAATGAAGCCATAAACCCGGATGTAATGGTGCCGCCATTGAAACCCTGGCTATTATACGAATATAAAAATTTGTACAAACGCTTTCTGGCCCTTACTGGCGCTTTTCAATCTTTTATCTTGCTCTGCGTGTCCCTACACCTGCACACGCGACCTGTACAACGCAACCTCACAAATATAAACGTCAGACTCGACACGCCAAGAAGAAGATTATGTGGTCAAAATACTGGAGCTTTTTTTTCTTTACAGTTCAAAGTATTTCCAACTTGTTTCCCATTCGACGACCTTTTGGTCAACAATTGTTGACCAAAAGGTCAAGTCGTCAAGTCAAGTACCCACAATCTGCCAAGCAAACATTTCTACAACACATTTCTGTAGAGTTAAATTTAACAATTAATTGGACTTATCCATTTTCTACCAATTCTTAGCTCCACAGCCATGTCTTCTGGTCTCATTGAGGCGTATCCCATGTGATTGTCAGTTGTTTGTACTGCGTGGCTATCGTCTTTCCCAGTGTTTGTCCACCGTGTACACAGCTGTAACTCAGTCGTTTTAAGGATTAGGTTTTTGAAACAGCATTTATTTATCAAATGGCGATGAGGTTCGTATCTTCATCACTCCAAGGACGGTAAAATTATGAAGTGGATAGCAGTGGTAGCAGTACAGCTCCTTGTGAAAGAGTTCGTCCATGGAAGTACTGCCACATTTTTGCCGCCAAGCAGTAATGTGAGCGTTACTGCGTTTCGGTTTTGAATGGTAAGGGCGATGGTGAAATTATGTCTCAGGGTGATTCGATTCGACCGATCCGATTACTGGATTGTCATAAAAACAGGAAATAATAGTAAAACAAACACGTGCAATTATTTTCCTGTAACCCGAAGGTTACCTGGAAGAGATTGCTACTTAGCAATAAGGCGCCTGTTGTGCCTGTCATTTTCACTTTTTTGTATTATTATGTATTTGTCCGTGTGCAATAAAGAATATTTGTATTGTATTGTATTGTAAAGCCCTAGTCAATACTTTACTATGGCCTGTAATGGTTAAGATCACACTAATGTATTCTCGTTCTCCGTCCGACATTCGTCCGAAGCAATTACTGTCAAAGAAGTAATACTCGACCAAATTTCTTTTTTAAATATATATTATATATTTACACACGCTTGGCAACACAATCTCACCTGACATTAAGCGACGATGTGACCGACAATGGGACGCGTTTGCCTAAAAAATGCCTATTCACTCTAGCCTTGAATAGCCCCAAATTGTACTTTTCGGGAAACACAGAGGGAGAAACACGGGAGACACAGTAGAGCATTCCATTCCTTTGCCGTACGCATCAAAAAGGAGGAAGCAAAGCGCTTAGTGCGAATAGGTGGTATATAAACGACATAACGGTGAACGGTGAGGACCTTTTAGTTGGCTGAAAGAAGAATGGTGAGAGTGTACACTCCCCGAAATGTGTCCGATAGAAAACCGAAAAGCAGGGTATTTTTCTGCGATGGTTGAGGTTTTGCTCATGCTCTACCGACTGAGCTAGCCAGCTAGGCTTTCTTGTTAGAAATTATACAATATTCTAGGTTTTTTCAACAAAATAAGAAAACGTGATTCAAGTACTGTCGAGCAAACTAATTTGTGTCGAGGCAAGGGACGATCCTAACGAAGTAAGAGAGAGCAATCAATTTAAAATCGCAGCGGGAACAAGCAAGAAGCCAATTTATTATCTGTTGGCCTTGCGGAACTATAGTAAGGGGAATTTTAAATATCGACATACCCACGTTTCGACTAAATCTTGTCTAAATCGCCGATTTTCGGTAAATCTTTCACAGACTATAAGTTCTTAATTATTGTTAGAACTAGCCTGATATATCTTGTTATAAATCCAAGAGATGGGCAAAATTTAATTTCCTTTTAACAATGTTTGATGTGTAGTTTGCGGATGTGTGTGGTACCGTCGTTATTTCCGATTTCCATGACACCAGTGCTTTAGTTACTTACTTTGGGATCGGAACAACGTATGTGGTGTATATTTATTTATTAATATCTTTTTGATAATCAAAACTACTGGTAATATCTAGCAGTAGAGCTCCTTGTAAAAGAGTTCGTCCAGGGAAGTACTGCCACCTTACCAATTTCTGCCGCCAAGCAGTTTCAAAGAGTAAGGATGCTGGTGACATTACAGGCACATGGAACTTATGTCTCAGGTGACGGGCGCAGTGGCAGTACCCCTTAGATCTTTGCGACTTAAAGCTCTTGAGTGGCACTGCTACAGTTATGGATAGGGGTGTCGATTACTACCAGGCGCACGTCTTGTTCGCCTCATCACTTGGTATTATAAAAAAATACAAAAAATTATTTAAATTGAGTTGAAATTCCTTGTTTATTAATTATTCAGTTAATAAAATTTAGTTGTCGGTGTGCTCTGTTTGGCTTCACCCAATAATGTCCATCCCATCTTTTCAGCTAACGAAGCGTGGCATTTAAATCCTTCTTTATTGCAGAGACCTACGTCTAGCAATTGACTACTATGAGCGTGTTAATAGACGTATGTACGTTTAATTTGTCGATGAACCAAATAAAATCATGAAATGAGTAAATTGATATTAAATCTTTTTAGATTTAAAACTCAAAAGTTCAGTCGAGGTCGAGAGGTATCTTCTAATATCGATACGTAATTCCCATCTCTACCCAACTAGATACACATGCCTGTTTGCAGAGAACCGCAAATATATTACCGCAGGCCCGTCTGTTTGCCCAAGCCCCAACGTTCTGTTTTTGATACTTCAATTCGGAGGGTATTGGTTCGGTTTGCTCTCGGATTTCTCATGCTGACTGTGCTTTGCGGTTTTGTATTTCTCTTTCGTCCTTCTCACATTTTTA